AGGGGGGTTGGACTAGATGACCCACAGAGGTCCCTTCCAACCCCTATCATTCTGTGATTCTGTTTTGAAGTTGGACTTACCCTGTCTTCATCCAAAATCGGACAACCGTATTCCTCATCAAAACCTTCATACAGTTCTCCTGCAGAAAAAAAATTTGTGGACATTTGTGAAGTAGTAGTAAGATAGATATTATTTGTATTGTTGTGTTTATTCCAGGAGAATGCAAACAAAAGACAGTGTTCAGAGCAAGGAAGGCTTTGCTCACAAATACATAGAAGAATAAGTTTGTTGTTTACTCCTGAATGCAGAGTATGCTACGGCTACATAAACGCTTTTCTAATTCATGCCACCAAAAACACCACTGTTAAAGCAAATTCATTGCCTTTCCCCTTCATATAGAATACTTGTGCTAGAAGCACGTTGTTACACAAAGCAAAAATACCTGAAGTACTGTGATGGACTACTTTCTTCGTACGGCCTACCTTCCTTTGCCATGTCACCCACGTTGATGTAGGTCATCCCGGCTCTTGACGCGAGTTCTTTTCCGAGAGTGGTTTTCCCAACGCCCGGAGTACCTAAAGACAAAAATCCACATGAAACGGCAAGAGGGCAGCACGTGAGCCCGCTTCAAATAACCTTCTAAAGAGTCAGCAAGGAAACATCTGTCAGTCAAATAGTTTGCTTAAGAAAAAAAAAGGGGGCAAAAAAGCAACAGGACAAGGAGTAACAAATAAAAGCAATGTCTAGAGATTAAAAAAGGAAAAAAACCCCCACAAGTATTACGAGAACTGTCTCTTTCAGCAGCAGCACTATTCCAGCCGGGACAATACAGAAGTCCAACCTGCTTCACTTAAAAGCCCAAACCAACACGGAGAAGCGCCAGGTTTTCAAGCAGAGAAGCCCGGCAACGCCTCCCCAGGCACGGCTGGGAACTCCAAATCGCCTCAAATGGCCTCAAACTGCCTCAAATGTCCTCAAACTGCCTCAAATGGCCTCAAACTGCCTCAAATGCCTCAAACTGCCTCAAATGGCCTCAAACTGCCCCCAGATGGCCTCAAACTGCCCCCAGATGGCCTCAAACTGCCCCAAATCGCCCCCGCGCTGCGAACAGGCTGCGGCCT